ATATAAACATGTGTCCAGTTCATTATCTAAAATATATAATGTGTCCAGTTCATTATCTAAAATATAAACATGTGTCCAGTTCATTATCTAAAATAAAAAATGTGTCCAGTTCATTATCTAAATTATATAATGTGTCCAGTTCATTATCTAAAATATAAACATGTGTCCAGTTCATTATCTAAATTATATAATGTGTCCAGTTCATTATCTAAAATATAAACATGTGTCCAGTTCATTATCTAAAATATATAATGTGTCCAGTTCATTATCTAAATTATATAATGTGTCCAGTTCATTATCTAAAATATAAACATGTGTCCAGTTCATTATCTAAAATATATAATGTGTCCAGTTCATTATCTAAAATATATAATGTGTCCAGTTCATTATCTAAAATATATAATGTGTCCAGTTCATTATCTAAAATATATAATGTGTCCAGTTCATTATCTAAAATATATAATGTGTCCAGTTCATTATCTAAAATATAAAATGTGTCCAGTTCATTATCTAAAATATATAATGTGTCCAGTTCATTATCTAAAATATAAACATGTGTCCAGTTCATTATCTAAAATATATAATGTGTCCAGTTCATTATCTAAAATATAAACATGTGTCCAGTTCATTATCTAAAATATATAATGTGTCCAGTTCATTATCTAAAATATAAACATGTGTCCAGTTCATTATCTAAAATATATGTGTCCAGTTCATTATCTAAAATATATAATGTGTCCAGTTCATTATCTAAAATATAAAATGTGTCCAGTTCATTATCTAAAATATATAATGTGTCCAGTTCATTATCTAAAATATATGTGTCCAGTTCATTATCTAAATTATATAATGTGTCTAGTTCATTATCTGAAATATATAATGTGTCCAGTTCATTATCTAAAATATATAATGTGTCCAGTTCATTATCTAAAATATATAATGTGTCCAGTTCATTATCTTAAATATATAATGTGTCCAGTTCATTATCTAAAATATATAATGTGTCCAGTTCATTATCTAAAATATATAATGTGTCCAGTTCATTATCTTAAATATATAATGTGTCCAGTTCATTATCTAAAATATATAATGTGTCCAGTTCATTATCTAAAATATATAATGTGTCCAGTTCATTATCTAAATTATATAATGTGTCCAGTTCATTATCTAAAATATATAATGTGTCCAGTTCATTATCTAAAATATAAACATGTGTCCAGTTCATTATCTAAATTATATAATGTGTCCAGTTCATTATCTAAAATAAAAAATGTGTCCAGTTCATTATCTAAAATATAAACATGTGTCCAGTTCATTATCTAAAATAAAAAATGTGTCCAGTTCATTATCTAAAATATAAACATGTGTCCAGTTCATTATCTAAAATAAAAAATGTGTCCAGTTCATTATCTAAAATATAAACATGTGTCCAGTTCATTATCTAAATTATATAATGTGTCCAGTTCATTTTCTAAAATATAAAATGTGTCCAGTTCATTATCTAAAATATAAAATGTGTCCAGTTCATTATCTAAATTATAAACATGTGTCCAGTTCATTATCTAAAATATATAATGTGTCCAGTTCATTATCTAAAATATAAACATGTGTCCAGTTCATTATCTAAAATATAATATGTGTCCAGTTCATTATCTAAATTATATAATGTGTCCAGTTCATTATCTAAAATATATAATGTGTCCAGTTCATTATCTAAAATATAAACATGTGTCCAGTTCATTATCTAAAATATATAATGTGTCCAGTTCATTATCTAAAATATAAACATGTGTCCAGTTCATTATCTAAAATAAAAAATGTGTCCAGTTCATTATCTAAATTATATAATGTGTCCAGTTCATTATCTAAAATATAAACATGTGTCCAGTTCATTATCTAAATTATATAATGTGTCCAGTTCATTATCTAAAATATATAATGTGTCCAGTTCATTATCTAAATTATATAATGTGTCCAGTTCATTATCTAAAATATAAACATGTGTCCAGTTCATTATCTAAAATATATAATGTGTCCAGTTCATTATCTAAATTATATAATGTGTCCAGTTCATTATCTAAAATATAAACATGTGTCCAGTTCATTATCTAAAATATATAATGTGTCCAGTTCATTATCTAAAATATATAATGTGTCCAGTTCATTATCTAAATTATATAATGTGTCCAGTTCATTATCTAAAATAAAAAATGTGTCCAGTTCATTATCTAAAATATAAACATGTGTCCAGTTCATTATCTAAAATAAAAAATGTGTCCAGTTCATTATCTAAAATATAAACATGTGTCCAGTTCATTATCTAAAATAAAAAATGTGTCCAGTTCATTATCTAAAATAAAAAATGTGTCCAGTTCATTATCTAAAATATATAATGTGTCCAGTTCATTATCTAAAATATAATATGTGTCCAGTTCATTATCTAAAATATATAATGTGTCCAGTTCATTATCTAAATTATATAATGTGTCCAGTTCATTATCTAAAATATAAACATGTGTCCAGTTCATTATCTAAAATATATAATGTGTCCAGTTCATTATCTAAAATATATAATGTGTCCAGTTCATTATCTAAATTATATAATGTGTCCAGTTCATTATCTAAAATAAAAAATGTGTCCAGTTCATTATCTAAAATATAAACATGTGTCCAGTTCATTATCTAAAATAAAAAATGTGTCCAGTTCATTATCTAAAATATAAACATGTGTCCAGTTCATTATCTAAAATAAAAAATGTGTCCAGTTCATTATCTAAAATATAAAATGTGTCCAGTTCATTATCTAAAATATAAACATGTGTCCAGTTCATTATCTAAAATATAAAATGTGTCCAGTTCATTATCTAAAATAAAAAATGTGTCCAGTTCATTATCTAAAATATAAAATGTGTCCAGTTCATTATCTAAAATATAAACATGTGTCCAGTTCATTATCTAAATTATATAATGTGTCCAGTTCATTTTCTAAAATATAAAATGTGTCCAGTTCATTATCTAAAATATAAAATGTGTCCAGTTCATTATCTAAATTATAAACATGTGTCCAGTTCATTATCTAAAATATATAATGTGTCCAGTTCATTATCTAAAATATAAACATGTGTCCAGTTCATTATCTAAAATATAATATGTGTCCAGTTCATTATCTAAATTATATAATGTGTCCAGTTCATTATCTAAAATATATAATGTGTCCAGTTCATTATCTAAAATATAAACATGTGTCCAGTTCATTATCTAAAATATATAATGTGTCCAGTTCATTATCTAAAATATAAACATTTGTCCAGTTCATTATCTAAAATAAAAAATGTGTCCTGTTCATTATCTAAATTATATAATGTGTCCAGTTCATTATCTAAAATATAAACATGTGTCCAGTTCATTATCTAAATTATATAATGTGTCCAGTTCATTATCTAAAATATATAATGTGTCCAGTTCATTATCTAAATTATATAATGTGTCCAGTTCATTATCTAAAATATAAACATGTGTCCAGTTCATTATCTAAAATATATAATGTGTCCAGTTCATTATCTAAATTATATAATGTGTCCAGTTCATTATCTAAAATATAAACATGTGTCCAGTTCATTATCTAAAATATATAATGTGTCCAGTTCATTATCTAAAATATATAATGTGTCCAGTTCATTATCTAAAATATATAATGTGTCCAGTTCATTATCTAAAATATATAATGTGTCCAGTTCATTATCTAAAATATATAATGTGTCCAGTTCATTATCTAAAATATATAATGTGTCCAGTTCATTATCTAAAATATATAATGTGTCCAGTTCATTATCTAAAATATAAACATGTGTCCAGTTCATTATCTAAAATATATAATGTGTCCAGTTCATTATCTAAAATATAAACATGTGTCCAGTTAATTATCTAAAATATATAATGTGTCCAGTTCATTATCTAAAATATAAACATGTGTCCAGTTCATTATCTAAAATATATGTGTCCAGTTCATTATCTAAAATATATAATGTGTCCAGTTCATTATCTAAAATATAAAATGTGTCCAGTTCATTATCTAAAATATATAATGTGTCCAGTTCATTATCTAAAATATATGTGTCCAGTTCATTATCTAAATTATATAATGTGTCTAGTTCATTATCTAAAATATATAATGTGTCCAGTTCATTATCTAAAATATATAATGTGTCCAGTTCATTATCTAAAATATATAATGTGTCCAGTTCATTATCTTAAATATATAATGTGTCCAGTTCATTATCTAAAATATATAATGTGTCCAGTTCATTATCTAAAATATATAATGTGTCCAGTTCATTATCTTAAATATATAATGTGTCCAGTTCATTATCTAAAATATATAATGTGTCCAGTTCATTATCTAAAATATATAATGTGTCCAGTTCATTATCTAAATTATATAATGTGTCCAGTTCATTATCTAAAATATATAATGTGTCCAGTTCATTATCTAAAACACGATAATGTGTTCAGTTTATTATCATATTTTTAAGTTCATTATCATGAATCATATTTCCACTGTCCTAACATATTATGTGGGTGTCTAAGGACGCTCTATTTCAGCTCCTCCTCAGCCCCACAACACTGAACATCATGGAAAAAAATCATTATATTTGTGTACATTATATAATAGAAACTGACCTGTCCGTATGTGGCTTGTATCTGGCCCAGAGTTGTAGGGTGGTAATACTGGTCAAAGTATCGAAGTTTGTCTGATGGAACCGATATCTGATAAAAAGGGAAAAAATATTCTAGGAGAAAAGTAAAAATACATTTTCTATCTGAGAAAATAACGTATTCTCAAAACGTGATATCACTTTTAAAAAATATTTTATTGATATTAAATGTTTTCGGTGGTTTTAACAGCTGTACTGTTTCACCAATTCCGTCTTACCTTGGCCAACTGAATCTATACTCACTTTGGCCAACTGAATCTATACTCACTTTGGCCAACCGAATCTTTACTCACCTTGGCCAACCGAATCTTTACTCACCTTGGCCAACTGAATCTCTAAGTCCACAACATCCGCCACATCCCTCCTGGCACTGGAGACGTTAGCAAACCCAAGCAGGGAGCCCATCCCGTACAGATAGTTCTCATAGGCCACGATAAATGGGCTGTTCCTCTCTCTCAGATAGTAGGACTTTGTCATGCCTAGACCAGCCTGGTCTATCTGCAGATTACACAACAAACTGGAATTAAGATAAATACAATAGGATCAAATGCTACAAATATTACAGTACACAACAAAATATAGGGGAAAACAGTCGGGGCAATTCTTCCAGAAAATATTACACATAAACTTCCAAGGAAGATAAATACAGTTCGGAGACAAAAAAACTTCTCCATCTACAAACAAAGGCACACCTCCGTATAACAGCACATCTAATCCAGACACTAAGACTATAGATTCCCCTGAACACATCCCCTTCAAATACAACAAACAAACGGACTACACCATAAACAAAACCCCTACAAGACAACAAACACACAATACCATCAACATGTTGATATCTGTGTTGTTGTAATCTTCATCCACGTAGACGCTGAAAATGACGCTCAAATATCGTCTTTGCATCGCCAGTATCATGCGCTCTAAGTCGAAACTCTCTTCCGCCCACGAAGCGTTAATGATGGGAAAACTGCCAAACTCTTTTTCTATGATTTCCCTCAGAGGCTGGTCAGATCTAGCACTGTTTAAATCTGGTGAAGATAAAAGCTTAATTAAAAGTGGCCAGTGGTCTATGAGAAATATAACACTACATTGAGTTATATTTTTAAAATATGCAGGTGCCCAGGGGAAGGAACTCTCACCTGTATTCACGCAGGAAGCAAACAAATCTTTGGCTTTTTTCATGCTAGGCAATTCTGTAGGTCTATAAGGTTCTTCCAATAAATCTGTAGGAAGACGCCTTTTTATATAAATATTTACATTTAACAACATTAAAGCTGTCAAACAATAAGGGAACAATGTAAGTTGACAAATGTATACCTGCTTTGATGAAAATCAACCGAATTAATATGTCCTTACTTGTACTTTACCTACGTAACATATGCCACCTACATTTAACACAGTTATGAAAGAACTCATTAATCTATCAACTATCATTAAGGTTAAACGTCTAACACAGGTATGGAAGAACTCATTAATCTATCAACTATCATTAAGGTTAAACGTTTAATAAAGGTATGGAAGAACTCTTTACTCTATCAACTATCATTAAGGTTAAACGTTTAATACAGGTATGGAAGAACTCATTAATCTATCAACTACCATTAAGGCGAAACAGTTTACAATCTGAGCATACTTTTCAGAATAACCTGTGTACGTTCAAGCAGACTGTAAAATGTTCCAATGGAGGCCTGGTCGCTGGGTATGATGGAATCTTTGAGCCACTTGCCACAGGCGAACTGGTAGAGATTGTCACAGGGGGAAACTTTGTAGTCGATCATACTGTTGATACGGGAGGCTGGAGAGATAGAGGAAACTTTGTAGTCGATCATACTGTTGATACGGGAGGCTGGAGAGATAGACACAGGGGGAAACTTTGTAGTCGATCATACTGTTGATACGGGAGGCTGGAGAGATAGAGGAAACTTTGTAGTCGATCATACTGTTGATACGGGAGGCTGGAGAGATAGAGGAAACTTTGTAGTCGATCATACTGTTGATACGGGAGGCTGGAGAGATAGAGGAAACTTTGTAGTCGATCATACTGTTGATACGGGAGGCTGGAGAGATAGAGGAAACTTTGTAGTCGATCATACTGTTGATACGGGAGGCTGGAGAGATAGAGGAAACTTTGTAGTCGATCATACTGTTGATACGGGAGGCTGGAGAGATAGAGGAAACTTTGTAGTCGATCATACTGTTGATACGGGAGGCTGGAGAGATAGACACAGGGGGAAACTTTGTAGTCGATCATACTGTTGATACGGGAGGCTGGAGAGATAGAGGAAACTTTGTAGTCGATCATACTGTTGATACGGGAGGCTGGAGAGATAGAGGAAACTTTGTAGTCGATCATACTGTTGATACGGGAGGCTGGAGAGATAGACACAGGGGGAAACTTTGTAGTCGATCATACTGTTGATACGGGAGGCTGGAGAGATAGACACAGGGGGAAACTTTGTAGTCGATCATACTGTTGATACGGGAGGCTGGAGAGATAGAGGAAACTTTGTAGTCGATCATACTGTTGATACGGGAGGCTGGAGAGATAGACACAGGGGGAAACTTTGTAGTCGATCATACTGTTGATACGGGAGGCTGGAGAGATAGAGGAAACTTTGTAGTCGATCATACTGTTGATACGGGAGGCTGGAGAGATAGAGGAAACTTTGTAGTCGATCATACTGTTGATACGGGAGGCTGGAGAGATAGACACAGGGGGAAACTTTGTAGTCGATCATACTGTTGATACGGGAGGCTGGAGAGATAGACACAGGGGGAAACTTTGTAGTCGATCATACTGTTGATACGGGAGGCTGGAGAGATAGAGGAAACTTTGTAGTCGATCATACTGTTGATACGGGAGGCTGGAGAGATAGAGGAAACTTTGTAGTCGATCATACTGTTGATACGGGAGGCTGGAGAGATAGACACAGAGGGAAACTTTGTAGTCGATCATACTGTTGATACGGGAGGCTGGAGAGATAGAGGAAACTTTGTAGTCGATCATACTGTTGATACGGGAGGCTGGTGAGATAGAGGAAACTTTGTAGTCGATCATACTGTTGATACGGGAGGCTGGAGAGATAGAGGAAACTTTGTAGTCGATCATACTGTTGATACGGGAGGCTGGAGAGATAGACACAGAGGGAAACTTTGTAGTCGATCATACTGTTGATACGGGAGGCTGGAGAGATAGAGGAAACTTTGTAGTCGATCATACTGTTGATACGGGAGGCTGGAGAGATAGAGGAAACTTTGTAGTCGATCATACTGTTGATACGGGAGGCTGGTGAGATAGAGGAAACTTTGTAGTCGATCATACTGTTGATACGGGAGGCTGGAGAGATAGAGGAAACTTTGTAGTCGATCATACTGTTGATACGGGAGGCTGGAGAGATAGACACAGAGGGAAACTTTGTAGTCGATCATACTGTTGATACGGGAGGCTGGAGAGATAGAGGAAACTTTGTAGTCGATCATACTGTTGATACGGGAGGCTGGAGAGATAGACACAGAGGGAAACTTTGTAGTCGATCATACTGTTGATACGGGAGGCTGGAGAGATAGAGGAAACTTTGTAGTCGATCATACTGTTAATACGGGAGGCTGGAGAGATAGAGGAAACTTTGTAGTCGATCATACTGTTGATACGGGAGGCTGGTGAGATAGAGGAAACTTTGTAGTCGATCATACTGTTGATACGGGAGGCTGGAGAGATAGACACAGAGGGAAACTTTGTAGTCGATCATACTGTTGATACGGGAGGCTGGAGAGATAGAGGAAACTTTGTAGTCGATCATACTGTTGATACGGGAGGCTGGAGAGATAGAGGAAACTTTGTAGTCGATCATACTGTTGATACGGGAGGCTGGAGAGATAGAGGAAACTTTGTAGTCGATCATACTGTTGATACGGGAGGCTGGAGAGATAGACACAGGGGGAAACTTTGTAGTCGATCATACTGTTGATACGGGAGGCTGGAGAGATAGAGGAAACTTTGTAGTCGATCATACTGTTGATACGGGAGGCTGGTGAGATAGAGGAAACTTTGTAGTCGATCATACTGTTGATACGGGAGGCTGGTGAGATAGAGGAAACTTTGTAGTCGATCATACTGTTGATACGAGAGGCTGGAGAGATAGAGGAAACTTTGTAGTCGATCATACTGTTGATACGGGAGGCTGGTGAGATAGAGGAAACTTTGTAGTCGATCATACTGTTGATACGGGAGGCTGGTGAGATAGAGGAAACTTTGTAGTCGATCATACTGTTGATACGGGAGGCTGGAGAGATAGAGGAAACTTTGTAGTCGATCATACTGTTGATACGGGAGGCTGGAGAGATAGAGGAAACTTTGTAGTCGATCATACTGTTGATACGGGAGGCTGGAGAGATAGAGGAAACTTTGTAGTCGATCATACTGTTGATACGGGAGGCTGGAGAGATAGACACAGGGGGAAACTTTGTAGTCGATCATACTGTTGATACGGGAGGCTGGAGAGATAGAGGAAACTTTGTAGTCGATCATACTGTTGATACGGGAGGCTGGTGAGATAGAGGAAACTTTGTAGTCGATCATACTGTTGATACGGGAGGCTGGTGAGATAGAGGAAACTTTGTAGTCGATCATACTGTTGATACGGGAGGCTGGAGAGATAGAGGAAACTTTGTAGTCGATCATACTGTTGATACGGGAGGCTGGTGAGATAGAGGAAACTTTGTAGTCGATCATACTGTTGATACGGGAGGCTGGTGAGATAGAGGAAACTTTGTAGTCGATCATACTGTTGATACGGGAGGCTGGAGAGATAGAGGAAACTTTGTAGTCGATCATACTGTTGATACGGGAGGCTGGAGAGATAGACACAGAGGGAAACTTTGTAGTCGATCATACTGTTGATACGGGAGGCTGGAGAGATAGAGGAAACTTTGTAGTCGATCATACTGTTGATACGGGAGGCTGGAGAGATAGACACAGAGGGAAACTTTGTAGTCGATCATACTGTTGATACGGGAGGCTGGAGAGATAGAGGAAACTTTGTAGTCGATCATACTGTTGATACGGGAGGCTGGAGAGATAGAGGAAACTTTGTAGTCGATCATACTGTTGATACGGGAGGCTGGTGAGATAGAGGAAACTTTGTAGTCGATCATACTGTTGATACGGGAGGCTGGAGAGATAGAGGAAACTTTGTAGTCGATCATACTGTTGATACGGGAGGCTGGAGAGATAGAGGAAACTTTGTAGTCGATCATACTGTTGATACGGGAGGCTGGAGAGATAGAGGAAACTTTGTAGTCGATCATACTGTTGATACGGGAGGCTGGAGAGATAGAGGAAACTTTGTAGTCGATCATACTGTTGATACGGGAGGCTGGAGAGATAGACACAGAGGGAAACTTTGTAGTCGATCATACTGTTGATACGGGAGGCTGGAGAGATAGAGGAAACTTTGTAGTCGATCATACTGTTGATACGGGAGGCTGGAGAGATAGAGGAAACTTTGTAGTCGATCATACTGTTGATACGGGAGGCTGGAGAGATAGAGGAAACTTTGTAGTCGATCATACTGTTGATACGGGAGGCTGGAGAGATAGACACAGGGGGAAACTTTGTAGTCGATCATACTGTTGATACGGGAGGCTGGTGAGATAGAGGAAACTTTGTAGTCGATCATACTGTTGATACGGGAGGCTGGTGAGATAGAGGAAACTTTGTAGTCGATCATACTGTTGATACGGGAGGCTGGTGAGATAGAGGAAACTTTGTAGTCGATCATACTGTTGATACGGGAGGCTGGAGAGATAGAGGAAACTTTGTAGTCGATCATACTGTTGATACGGGAGGCTGGTGAGATAGAGGAAACTTTGTAGTCGATCATACTGTTGATACGGGAGGCTGGTGAGATAGAGGAAACTTTGTAGTCGATCATACTGTTGATACGGGAGGCTGGAGAGATAGAGGAAACTTTGTAGTCGATCATACTGTTGATACGGGAGGCTGGAGAGATAGACACAGAGGGAAACTTTGTAGTCGATCATACTGTTGATACGGGAGGCTGGAGAGATAGAGGAAACTTTGTAGTCGATCATACTGTTGATACGGGAGGCTGGAGAGATAGACACAGAGGGAAACTTTGTAGTCGATCATACTGTTGATACGGGAGGCTGGAGAGATAGAGGAAACTTTGTAGTCGATCATACTGTTGATACGGGAGGCTGGAGAGATAGAGGAAACTTTGTAGTCGATCATACTGTTGATACGGGAGGCTGGTGAGATAGAGGAAACTTTGTAGTCGATCATACTGTTGATACGGGAGGCTGGAGAGATAGACACAGAGGGAAACTTTGTAGTCGATCATACTGTTGATACGGGAGGCTGGAGAGATAGAGGAAACTTTGTAGTCGATCATACTGTTGATACGGGAGGCTGGAGAGATAGAGGAAACTTTGTAGTCGATCATACTGTTGATACGGGAGGCTGGAGAGATAGACACAGGGGGAAACTTTGTAGTCGATCATACTGTTGATACGGGAGGCTGGAGAGATAGAGGAAACTTTGTAGTCGATCATACTGTTGATACGGGAGGCTGGAGAGATAGACACAGAGGGAAACTTTGTAGTCGATCATACTGTTGATACGGGAGGCTGGAGAGATAGACACAGGGGGAAACTTTGTAGTCGATCATACTGTTGATACGGGAGGCTGGAGAGATAGACACAGGGGGAAACTTTGTAGTCGATCATACTGTTGATACGGGAGGCTGGAGAGATAGAGGAAACT